TTATTGAACTCACATATCACAGCCATTGTCACGTCGAATCTCATCTACGACGTTCTTGATACTTTCAATGACTACTACATCAAGACTGAAGATTTGAACATACCGGCACTCGTCTGGCTTTCAGATTTAATTGGCTTTAAATATATTAGCCGACTTATGGTCTATACTTTTTACGGTATTGGAAGGTGCAATTCGGAAATTGGTGAAGCTAGTTTTGTCCTGGAGAAACATCTCGTTGACCCTGAAAAGATTGCTTTTTACATTACCAGATGTCTTATTAATATTTTTGCGCTCAAATTGTTGACGTTTCTCGTAATGTTTTTCAAGTTTAATTCTTTTAAGGATTTAAGAAAAATGTTCACACTTGAAAACAAAGCTGATAGTGTTTGTTCAAAATCAAAACCAATATCGGATTTTAAGTTCAGTCCATCAAGTCAAAGCTTGAACGGCAACAACAACAACAACAACATTGATTTAGCCACCATATCGCAAATGAAAAAATCTGAGTCTGAACTTAGTTTCAGTGAATTCTCTAAAAACAAAATAATCATCGGCTTTAAAGACTTAACCTTGTACAAGTCCAGCTCCATTTACGAGATTAACGATTCTGCAGACTCAAACTCAGTCATTCTCAATGGCTTAGAAGGACACTTTCGCTTTGGCACTCTCAATGCAATTTTGGGCAGCTCAGGATCGGTTCGATTTAAGCTTTTTTGCCAATTTTGCAACTAATTTTGTTTTTGTTAAACAGGGCAAGACATCACTTCTTCGAGTGCTGAACGGGCAGTGCAAGAATCGACTTGCCTCAAAGAGTCAAGTCTACCTGTCTCGTTTCACCACAATTTCCACCTGCTTTGTCGCCCAAGTGGTGTCAGATCATCTGATGTCCGGTTTAACTGCAAGGCAGTCGTTAATATTTGCATCAAAGTTGAAAAATCAATCTATACAAGTGAACCACGTAAAGCTGGCTGACGCCGTTTTANTTAAACAGGGCAAGACATCACTTCTTCGAGTGCTGAACGGGCAGTGCAAGAATCGACTGGCCTCAAAGAGTCAAGTCTACCTGTCTCGTTTCACCACAATTTCCACCTGCTTTGTCGCCCAAGTGGTGTCAGATCATCTGATGTCCGGTTTAACTGCAAGGCAGTCGTTAATATTTGCATCAAAGTTGAAAAATCAATCTATACAAGTGAACCACGTAAAGCTGGCTGACGCCGTTTTAGCGGAGTTTAATCTGACTGACATTGCGGGGACAAAAGTGGAGAACTGTTCAGGCAAGTTCAGTGTGTCAGCGGTGTTTTTGATAAACTAAAAAAGCTGTTTGATTTAGGTGGAGAACAAAAGAGACTGGCTTTGGCGTTGGAGTTGACCTCACTGGAGATGCCCAACTTGATACAGTTTGATGAGCCGACAAGCGGACTGGACTCTGCTTCAGCTGAAAAGGTTACTGATCAAATGATTATTTGTCATTTTAACTAACAGTCTCAGCTTTTCGTACCCTTAGGTCATCCTGTGCCTTCGCAAGCTCGCCCACTCTCGAAACCTCACCATCATCACCTCGATCCACTCGCCCAGNACCGACAAGCGGACTGGACTCTGCTTCAGCTGAAAAGGTTACTGACCAGTTGATTATTTGTCATTTAAAGTAACTCTCAGTTTTTTATCACCTTAGGTCATCCTGTGCCTTCGCAAGCTCGCCCACTCTCGAAACCTCACCATCATCACCTCGATCCACTCGCCTAGTTCCGAGGTGCTCTACATGTTTGATTCACTGTACTGTCTGGCTCGTGGAGGCGTTTGCATCTACTCTGGACCGCCTAACGGCATTGCCGATCACCTCAGGTCAGCAGCAGTTGTGAATGATGGCACTGAGGGAGCTGCCATTTCATTTCCCATTGAGCAGCTCATTTCCTACTCCTGCGAGGNCAGCTCTGAGGTGCTCTACATGTTCGATTCACTGTACTGTCTGGCTCGTGGAGGCGTTTGCATCTACTCTGGACCGCCTAACGGCATTGCTGATCACCTCAGGTCAGCAGCAGTTGTGAATGATGGCACTGAGGCAGCTGCCATTTCATTTCCCATTGAGCAGCTCATTTCCTACTCCTGCGAGGGGCCGCAGTGCGAACTGGTTCAGCGACTAATGAGGGCAGCAAGTGGTGACACTGAGCAACGTTCAGCCATTGCCGCCGAGCTGACTGCCAATACGCAATTAGCACCGGAAGGAGTGCTCCAGAATCGAACTCGATTTTCGCTCTCCTCAGTGGCCGTCCTCAGCCACCGGTACCTAGTGCACATAGTGGGCTACCAGTGGCGGGAGCTGCTCGCCTTTGCCCTCATTCTCTTCTACTACGGCAACAACCTGCACGTCTTCTGGCCCTCTTCCATTGCCACCGTCTCGGGCTGCCTCAACCTGGAGGATGATCTGAGCGGTAATCACAGCGCTCGGTGCGGTGGCCGCCGATCTGAGTCGGAAAGTGAGCAGGGAAGGGAGGAGAAGGCCGTGGAGGACAGTGTCAAGTACACCGTCTTCATGTGCATACTCTTTCTGCTCTTCATTGTCCTGCAGGCGAGTTTGACGTTCTACCGAGAGATGAGCGGAAGTTTTCTCTGTGAAAAGCGGAATGGTAAGCATGCGGAAATGGTGGTGGTGTTTTTCCTGCTTGCCCTTGCTGAGGGGGTGACAAAACAAAAGAGTGAACAAAAAAGGTCTAACGCAAAGTTGTGCTCCTCTCCCCTCCGGCAGGCTGGTACAGTACCTCGTCCTTCTACCTGGCCAAGTGCCTCCTCGAGTTTCTCGTCATCTTTCCGCTGCTGCTGCTGTACGTGCACATCTGCGACATCTACAGCGCCGTGCACGGGCCGGCCATCTACTGGCACTTGCTTTTAATTATCACGCTCACCGTCACCGCCGCCCAGGCCCTCTCGCACATGTTCATCCTCTTCTCGCGACAGAGCTACGCCATCTGCGCCATCATCTGCCTGACCGTCTTTGAGCTCTTCCTCCTCCTCTCCAACTTCTTCATCAGTCTGCACCGACTGCACTACTTCTATCAGTTCCTCTCCAACCTCAACACCGCTCGTTTCGCCCTGGAAGCCTCACTGCTGCTGCAGTTTGGCTTTGGCCGCTGTGGCGCCGGCCAACTTCAGCCGGTCCTTTACTGGATGAACCTCACTGATGACCACTACAGTCACTGCATTCAAATGCTGTTTTTACACATTGTCTTCTATCGATTGGCCGCCTTCTCTCTCCTCAAATGGAAAGTCGGCGGACGGCAGTGTCGCCCGGAGAGGTCCAAGCAGATTGAGGACTATTTGAGGAATGTAGGCGCAGAGCGGAACGGGAAAACTGCCGCTTACTTTTTTGGCCACTCACAGCTGACTTTACTGCGTTATAAGGTTTAATTGTGTTTTTTATTTGTAGTACAATTAGGCAATTTTATGTAATTTTTATTGAACTATGGTTTGTTCAACTGTTTCAAATCTCGGTTTGTTTTTTGGTTTGCTTCCGGCGTTGTTGGAGATTTTAGGCTTTTTAGTTGTTTTTGAGGTATTTGGCGTAATTTTCGGAGTGGTAGTTTTTACTGGTTTCTGAGCAGGAAGCAACTGACCATAGTCCCGTGGTGGTTTGCGTCGAACTGCTGTTGCAATTGAAAATAGAATGCTAAAAAGCAAAAATAAGTGAAATAACTTCATCGTGTCAATATTAGCGGCTGCTGATACTTTAATGGTGTTCTGATGAGCGGAACGAATTAGATCTGATTTTAATGTCCATTTAGTAGTACTTTTATATACAGGGTAAGTCAAAAGTTGGCTACTTTTAGCGGGGTTAACACTTTGAACCGGTTAGGAAGTGAAGGCTAAAGTCGTCAGGCAGGAAGTAATTAAAAAATATTTAAACTATTTGTTTGTTTCTATTTACGGTAGGGTATTGAAGGGTCAGCTTTTACAGGAATTTTGACAACTTTATCGGTGAACTTTATCAATCAGCTGACGACTCACGGCATTTACACCGACAAGTACTTTGAACTCGCTAGGGCAAACACTGAAGCACACAATTCAATTACAAACATGGCATTTCAACAAGATTTTGAAAAAAGATATTTTTATTTTAAAAAGTAATTACGAAATGTACACAGCATTTTTTGTTTTCGTTTTAATATTAATTTTCTTTTTTACCTTTTTAATTTTCTTAGTTTTTCCTTTTGCTAGCTTGTGTTTTGATTTTTTCTTTTGCAGTGTTTTCGTTGTCAGCACTGGCACGACACATAAAGGCGCTACACTGAGCTTTCCCTCTTCAAGTCCACATGCCAGAGGAATTGTTGAGTTGACTTTGTTAAATTTTGTTGTTTTGAATTTTCTAACTTTTGTTGGCAGAACTTTATCGCAAGCAAAACAGGAAAATAACTGTGATAGTAAAAGGAAGAGAATTAGTGGAAGAATCATTTGTGACAGCCTTAGACTAACGACTTTTAAATGCTAAGACAGCTTAGAATGGCACAGCAAATATATATACTAAGTTGGAAAACGAGTTTCAATTGATTGACAGTTTGTTTGTGTTGCAAAGTTGATAACGAGTTTGAACATCTTTTTCTTGTTAACTGACACATTAAGATAAAATAAATTGTTTCGAAAGGCATTCTATATGTTTGACCTTTTCGGTTCAGTGTATAGTTTAGTGTCGAAGACAAAAATTAAATGACTTTTCATTTATTTTATAGTATTGACATCTAGAAATATTTTGGCTTTCTGCAATTAGGGAAGAGCATACGCTATTTCCGTTAAATATCCGCAAACATTTTTGCCCTTTGCCACTCTGAAGTAGCCATTCTCTCCCCAGTAGCGTCCCCAGCTGTTCTGCAGTATGAAGGCCTCTTCATCGTAGCCGACAATGAGACACGCATGGTTGGTTATCTTTGAGCAGGCCTCATCGTCGATGATGCCGGATTTGTAGTTCTGCAGAAGGTGTCCCTCGCCGTGAATCAGCGCGTAGAGGGGGCCGTGTGCAACAAGTTCCCGCTCAATGTCCTCGTCCGTCAGGTAGTCACGAGCGTAGACTGGCATGTGAATGCGCCCTCGAACGCAGTAGTTGGAGATTCTCGCCAGAACTGGAAACTGCTTCTTTCGGGTCAGTCGAGAGTTTTGTCGATTTTGATACGGATAGATGGACTCGGCAGTGAGCCCGGCCTTGTGAACGTAGGAGAATGAAGTCGGTGCACTGCCGCCCTCACACCCAAAAGCCTATCACAAAGTATATCAGTTCTTGCTAATAAAACCCTCTTCTAATTTTTTTAGCACAAACTTACCCTCTCGTCATAGTCAAGAATTTGCTGGACACTAAGATGTGCTCCCCATCGTCTTGCTTTGCCAGCCTTCAGCAACGCCGACTCTACTGCTTGAGCAGTGATTACTGCCCTGGTAGTTGTAAAAATTAATTTTGAGCTAAAAAACNTGCTAATAAAACCCTCTTCTAATTTTTTTAGCACAAACTTACCCTCTCGTCATAGTCAAGAATTTGCTGGACACTAAGATGTGCTCCCCATCGTCTTGCTTTGCCAGCCTTCAGCAACGCCGACTCTACTGCTTGAGCAGTGATTACTGCCCTGGTAGTTGTAAAAATTAATTTTGAGCTAAAAAACCGCAGTGATCTAAAACTTACCAACATGCGCCGCATGTGTATTGTTGGCGAACATTGGTGACCACTCCAAACTTTCTCCAATCCCAGGTTTTGGGAACTGGTTCTGTTCGATTGAGAAGTTTACAGTTTCCAAGCCCTTTGCCACTGGGACTAACAAAGCTCGGAGCTCGATGTAGTGAAGAACTGAACTTTATTGTAGTCGTTTTTTTCAAAATATTTCCAAGAAAATCATCATTCAAACTTCTTCCAAAAGTGAACACTTTGTTAAAATTTTTTTCTGAACTGGTCAGCTTTTGCAAGTCTTTTTCGTTCATATCTGAAAGACTTGTTAAGCCGACCTTGGTGTAACTGCCTAGTGGTTTGCTTGAATGTTTTTGAATATTTAAACTGCAATTGAGGACATAAGTGATAATGTGGTCTAATGATTTGAAAAGATTTGAAATTGAATCGAGATTTGAAATTTGATCTGGAAGAGCAGACTAAAACAACTATAAGTCAAAACATGTTTTTAATTGTTTAGAAAACTTACATAGTACTTGGTAATAATGTCAATTCCAGTTGAATTTTTAACAAAAAGAGGAATTTTAACTTTGTTTATTGTTTCATCGAAGCACTCAAAAATGCCATTTTCGGTAACGTTTAAAATTGCAGGAAAAATTTTACTAATTGGAAGATATATTTGGTCATTTATTTCATAACAGGTAATTGAAACTATGCAAACTGAAAACTTCAAAAGTATTTGAAGAAACATTTTTACAACATTTAAAATGCACACTTTGTAAAAACCCCGGTATGTAATATTTTAATAATTGTTTTATATTTTTAAACGTATTTTTATTTTAATTTATCCATTATAATTTTACACTGAAATTGATTTGCAATAATTGTTAAAAATAGATAATTAGCAATTCCATTTTAAAAACAAAATTGTTGATTGCAATATTGATTTTTACAAAAATCAAATATTTTAATTAGGGTAACGAGTGGTAACCTGGTTTCTTGTATTGCTGACAGTCAGCAATGAACTTGATTAAATTGATCATTTCAGTTCTGCTTTGTATTATTTGTTCTTCGTTCAACTTGTGTGTCATCTGTCATTATCCTTTTTCGCAGCAGCTGACCTAACAGCTTTTAGTTCCTCTGGGATTGAGAATTTAGTAATATTAAATAACAAGAAAAAGTAGTTCACAAAGGTTAACACGTAAAAGCTCTCTATTGAAACAAGACTCAAGATTAATGGTATTAATTGATATTCACCATTTTTAATATTGGTTTGCAAAAATAAAAACAAATTATCTTTAAATATTTTTTTGTTTGACATCATTTATTGCAAAAAATATCTTAAACTTGAATACAGGCAAAACTCACAGTGCGGACGCGCCAGCAAGTACGGACGATGACAACGCCATCTCGTTTAGTAAAGCAGTTGATTTAATTTTTCTATGCAAAAACATTAGCGTCTGTTGAGACAAAAAGAGCGTTTTATGTCAACATAGACGTTGGCGCCCGCAAGTACGGATGAAAGCTGCGATACAGATTTTGTCCGTACTATGAGTTTTGCCTGTATAATATTTTTAGCGTTACTGTTAACAAAATTTTTTATTTAAGTTTTTTTGCAGAAAAAGAATAAACGCCAATAATGAAATATTTATGAATGGAAAAAATCAAATCAATAATCCAAAATATATAACTTTTTTGCCGGCAATTAGCCAAAAAATTATTTGAATATGCTCTAATAGCATGTTTCACAAAAATTTACTGTTGCAAATTATTTTTGTTTAATAAACTAATTTAAAATGCCCGCTCAAACAATTGGCGAAAAATTTTGCATAATTAATCAGCATGATAATTCCAGCAAAAAACCAATTTGCCGACTAACGGCTGGACTATTTCCAGATGAGGTGCATTTTTAAAAATAATTTTATTTTTTGTAATTAATATTAGTTTAGTTTTTTTCAGATAATTTTGATACGCAATATGTCTGTTCAAAACACAACGAAATTTTTAAAATTGTTGAAAAATATTTGCATTGTAGGTATAAATTCATTAAAAGTTATTAAACCGAATAAAAACTTGATTTTTTATTATTTATAGAATTCATTTTAAGGTTTCATCTGAAAACTTTGGCGGAAGATTGGTCAATGGAAGTTGGAATGGCGTTCTGTCAATGTTTGCTAAAAATGTAATTTTTTCAGTGTTTAATTTTTACAGCATCAGAAACATAGCCAATTCAAAACTAGTTTGTACTCTGTAAACCAATCAATATCGCTAGTTGTGAAATTCTTTACAAACTATTTTTAAATTATATCTTTTTAGGAGTCTGATTTTTTCGGACATTTTTTTAGTGCTACGAGTCAACGTGAAAAAGTAATTCATTACTCGTCCATGATTCCGCAAGCAGAAAGTCTTGCAATCCTCAGTTACCCTCATTACCGTGAAACTCCCTGGGCACTGTTTAACTCTTTTTCGCTATCAATTTGGATGCTAATCGGACTTTCATTTACAATTTTTGGATTATTTGGTTGTCTTAAGTATGTTAAAAATGCGCCTGTTGGCACCCAAAAACTCGTTTGGCAAATAACTGCAGCTAATTACATCGATTTATTTGCCATTTTTATTGGTTTAGGTATAAACAGTTAAAATTGTACTTTTAAAGTTTACAATCATTTTGTACGTTTAATTTAGGTACTGTGAAATTGACTATAAAACCATCTGCAGCCAGTAATCCAATCATTTTTTGGATTATTGCCTCTTTTATTTTTCGGCAGATGCTATTGAGTGAAATAACCGCATTGCTTCTCTCAAGAGGAAAGTTTATTATCGATACTTTTAGTCAATTGATAGAAATGAAATGCAAAATAACTATCATCATTGAAAAACTTTCATCATCGCAAATTTATTTTAATCAGGTAAAATATCAAATTTTTTATATTATTGACATTAGCTCTAAAAACGACTTTTAGCTTTTTCCTTCTTTATCGACCTGTTGCCAAACCGTTTCTCACCAGTCTCTCAATTCAGTGTCCACATTGAATAAACTTATTAACAAAAAATATGCACTGGTAGCACCTCGTGAAGACCTAGAAATGATTCTTATATCATACCCTTCCATTGGTTTTAGAGTTGCTCGGGAAGGTCTTATTAGCACAGTGGGAAATTTTGCAATCAGAAAAACGCTTGATGCCAAATATAAGAACAAGTTAAGTAAACTGTTTCAAAATTTGTATTATTTTGGAATTGAAACAAAAATAAAAAAGTTTATGCCACTTCATATTTATGCTCAACTCAATGGAGTAAATTCTTTAAGCAAATTAATAACAAGCCCTGACGCAAACAAATTGTTAACTAAAAACAGTCATTTACGTACTTCTAATGTTAAAACCTTTATTTACATTTACTTAATTGGGATAGCAATTTCAACCATTATTTTTATTTGTGAAACAATTGCAATCATGAAAAACAAGTGTAGCAAAGCAAATCTTATTCAAAATAACATCAACTTTTGAATATTTTTAAACAAAAAACATTAAATAAACATATTCATTTTTACAACTCTCAACATGTTGTACAAATTATAAGTTACTTTTTTAATAGTTTTTATTTATAAATATGTAAAAGCACAAACAAAGCTATAATTACTTTATTATTTTTATGTTACTTTGAAAATACAACAGAGAAAGATACTGCAGACAATTATTAAACATTTTTTACTCTTAGAAATAGGAAAAAACAATTATCAAGTAAATGGAAAAAATTGTTAAAATCATTTGGAACACTACTGTGATTGACAACTGAATTTAAAATAAAAAACAGTTTTTTCTTGTTTTGTAAACAATTTTTATAATTCAATTCAACACTAAGTTTTCAATGTCACTGCCTTCTTTGATTTCACAATATTGCTTTGTCTGGAACAACAAAACAATGAGTCCAATTTCAAGAGAGATTGACTGCCAGCTAAATCTGGGATTGTTTCCCAAAGAAGTAAACAAATGACTGCATTTGGCAGGTTATTAATTTATTTAACATTTATTTTTTGTATTGACAAATTTAAAGATTTACATTTCGCCTGAGGATTCAACATCTTACATTTGCTCCATTCACAATGAAATTATTTTTATATTGTTAAAGTACTTAAAATGCAGGTAAAAACACTTTAGTTTTTATTTAAAAAATTGTCAGTGTTTAAACACAATTTATTTAGAATAAACTTTTACTCTTCCTCGGTTAATTACGGAGGCAAAATAGTCAACGGGAGCTGGACTGGAATTTTGTCGACGTTTGAAAAGAAGGTACAATATTTGTTGATAACTTATTTTTTTCAAAAACTAAAACACAGTTCTAGAAAGCTGATTTTATCCTTCATCGATTTTCAGTGTTGAACAATCGAAGTCAAATAATACACTACGACTTTCTAATGCCGGAAAAAGATCTACTCACCATATTTAGTTTTCCAAAATACATGAATAGCCGGGACGTTTGGAATATTTTTAGCGTCTTTTCTGCCTTCATTTGGCTTCTTATACTTGCAAGTTACGTCTTTTACGGGTTACTGCATGTTTTGATGAATTTTTCCAAGAATTCACTCGAAGCAGCAAGCAGATTTATTGATGTTTTTGGAGTTCTAGTCGGACAAAGCGACGCAATTTTGCTAAACCGAAATCATTTAGGAGTAAATCCATTGATAGTTTTTGTTCTAATGTCCTTCATTCTTCGGCAATTTTTTGGACAAGACATAACCGCTTTGCTGCTTACTCGTACCAAAATTATAATAGATTACTTTTCCCAACTCGAAACATATGATTTTACCATTTTAATTGAAGACCAGTCTAACTATTTGCACTACTTTCAGCAGCTTTTTCCTAAATTA